ATCGTGCCCCATCCTTTTTCAAGATTGGGCTTTATAGACCCTTCATATCTGAGACTATTCTGTTTGAAAATGTTTTTCTCCTTTTTCTTTTTTTAGGAGGGAAAATAATAAAAATGATATACAATATTGTTCGCAGTTGAATCAAATTATAAACATGAGTTCAAAGAATATCAAAGGAATCAATAGCTCTTTTAATGCTTTCAGAGTTACAACTCTTTAATAAATGTACAAATGGATGAGTTGGCTTTAGGTTGGCATTCTTTTTAAGGTTTCAGTAACCCAAAATGTCATTTTTTTAAAATGTCGCAATATGCTTTGGCATTTCAATTGGGTGCGTACAAAATGACGCAACTAGCATGATCAATTACTAGACCTTTTATTTCGGTCCTCTGAAATCTTCTATTTGTTCAAGTTTTGTAGTCTCCTCTAACAAAGGCAATGCAAAAAATATCGGTATAAAAATGAAATTCTTGAGTGCTCGTGTGTAGTTGACTATAACAGGTGTTCCCTAACTCCCTTAGTCCATCATTACCGAAAATTTCTTGCTTAGATAAATTTGATTTAATTTGCTGTTATCTGGCTAGCTGAATCCATAAAGCCGAGGCGTTTAACCAATTGCTTTAAAGGGACAACTTAACATTATAATCACTTTTATCAAGTTAACTGAAGGGTTCATCTCATCACAAAGTCTTCGGCCGGATAATAGCAGTGGAGTAAACACCGAATTGCCAAGTGTTCGAGCAGTGTCATGGTTTGAACATAATCTATTCATAAGGCCAGGGCTTTCAAGTTTCCTCTATAACCAATTGCCTTAGTGGAATAGCTCAGCTTTGCGGATTTAATTTCTTAAGATTGTCAAGAAGAACATGTTATAGTCTAGGTGTTTTTGAAAAAAAATTCATCTTTAGAGTTCAATTTCCAAGCAACTAGCCTAAACTAGATTTGCATACTCGACTATTCCATATGTGAAGATCATTATCATCACTGAACGTCTTAAATAAAAAGTATAGTAATTTCATATGCAAAAGGATGCTCCATGTTGCCTGCACTTAATGAAAGGAAAAGGTTAATTGCAAGAGCAAGGTACGGTGTTTGAGTGTATATTCTGGGTAATGTCAAAGTCCTTGTTTTAAATCATGTTACTTTGTTAGGGATTCGTAACTTTGAACCATTTACAGAGCTTCTTAATTCAGTTGATATTCAAAGAATTGCAAGTTTGCAAATGTGATTCAGTGCTCGTCATCATTAAAGTAACATAAATTTATTTAAAAGTCCTTACAAAAACTTAAGAAAAAATGAAAAAAAAAACAAATTCAAACAGAATGCCTCAAATGATGAAATGGTCTTCCTCACTTGGATGCCCCCGAGTTGTTGAAGTCGATCCATTTCTTGTTATGTATTTTATGTGTGATTCTCTTGAATGTAGAGTAGTTCTCGATAGTGCGCCCTGGGACACCACTATGATATTCGCAATGAGCGTTCTCATCATACTACCTAGAGTACAGGGCTTCATGGATTTCTCTGGATATGGTGACACCACATGTGCGTCAAACAACTATTGGTAAAGCTCATTATATGTCATAGGATAGAAATGTTCTCATTTTTTTATTAGACATGTGAATGTAATAAAAAAGAGAAAAGTAATGCGAAATATGCAGGAATGCATGATGCATGCAATGTTCGAGTCATTGACCCAAAAAATGTATTTGTTATTAGAAATAATCCTTATTGGGGACAAAAGTGTTTTATCTTTTAAGAGACAAAAATATCCTGACAGCTTCTGATATGTTGACTAGTCTTCTGCCTTCGTCTTGCACCGGTTGAATAACCTGTCGAACCGCTCTGGCTTCTCTGGATGAACCTTGCAAATGACGAGTTGTTTGCCCAAAAAAATATCTCGAATGATTGCACCTCCGGCTTCCACTCTCTGCTGAGTCTGTTCCCTAACGGCAACAACATTGGAGCCCTCCATCGATAGAAATTATCCGAAGCTTGCTTCTTGAATTCATCAGCAATGACATTCAGCTCAGCTAGGGTTTCGCCATCTTGTTCTCGTAGTTTTTGAAAAGAGCATCCGGGTCAGTAGCCTTTTCCTTGTCTTGCCCCTGCAATCTTTGTCAGTCAGTTCTTCAAAGATAGACTTTCATTGTGCTTGATACAGACCCGGTTCATTCTAAGTCCTTTATAATGCAGCAGAGTGATATACTCTTCAATTGTGGACACCACGTCTTCTGGATTGAATGTGACACATAGTCTCCTTGTAGACCGTCCTCTGCATTTTCATCTCTTGTATTACAACCCCTTTGTCCATTAATGCAGATTATTCATATTTAACAAATACGTTTTTGGTGGATCAACACCTCTTTTAAATGATGTGAATGATGAGAACAAAATGAAAGAGAACAAAAAATAAAAAGAGTTAATGAGGTAAATCAAAACAATAAAAAATGAAAAATCCTACCCCATATGATATCTACCCCACATGCTTATTATTCATACCCGGACATGATCTCTATTCCGCATGCTAATTTCAAATAAATCATAACCGCATATTTGTCTAGTTCGCATGCTTTGAACTGAAAGTAAAGCATGAAATAAATCAGGCATCCTAGGGTTTGAAATGAGGTTTTGGGGTGGGCTCTAATTCTCCATAGTCTTCTGGTTTAGGTTCTAAAAAATGGTACTCGAGTTCTCCATGTCGGTGCCCCCTTAGGCTTGCCAGACCCTTAGTCCTAAGCCTATTACAAGCTTGTGTGGACTAAGTTAAACTCGAGAGGAAACATTCCCTTATGCCCATACGGAGAATAAATTCACACGAAGGCATAAGGTATATGAATCCCGAAGGTTACTTGCTAGGCCCATACAGTGAATAAATTCACACGAAGGCGTCGCTTTCACCCCCACTTAAAAGGGTTTTGGAGCTCGGGTATAGAGCTAGAGATGACAATTTTGGAAAATCTGAAATCATTAAAAAAACGTCTGTACAACTATTTATTTGAAAAATAATCAAAGGAAAATAATTGGAATCGGATAAATAAATTAACATTTACAATTTTCGATCAAAAAGACAACCGGAAATTAATTTCGGCCTGACTCACTTACCTATCCCCAGCAGAGTCGCAAAGCTGTCGGAACCGTCTTTCGGGTGGGCCCAGCATTGGACTTCGACTTGGATTGAATTGGATTAGAGTCGCCACTGACCACTTTAAAATGAATTTAGGTGGGTCGGACACCATCTTACCTGATCTGCGTTGTACCCAAAATCGTGTCGGGTTCGGGAGTCGGTTACGGTCAAAGAAGGATTAGCACCCTTGAATCGCCCTCTCGATACCAATTAATTTATTGGTTGTTTTTAATTGCAAAAATTAAAAATTTAAATTGAAATTTAGAAATTCGACTCGAATTCCTTACCTTTGATTAATTGAGATTTTTATTGAAAAATACAAAAAAAATGTTAGATAAAAAGAATAAATAATAATAAATAAATATTAAATTAATCAAAGAAAAAAATTATAAAATAATAAATCAAAAGAAAAAACGAAAAAAGAAAAGAAAAGAAATTTTAAATAAATTGAAAAATAAGAAAAATAAAATAAATCAAAGAAAGAAAAAATAAAATAAATAAAAATATAATGAAAAAAAATAAATCAAAGACAACGAAAAAATGAAGAATAAAAAACAATTAATAAAATTAATAAAAGAAAAAGAAAAAAAAGTTAAATTTTAAAAACAATAAAATAAAAAATAATATGAAGAAAAAAATAATTTTATAAAAAAATAAAAATAATAATAAAGTAAAAAAAAACTTAGATGATCAAATTGGAACAAACTAAAATTAATGGATTAAATTGGTATTAACATCAACTGGAAAGGACTGAATACAAATTAAAAAATAAACGAGAGTCCAAATCAAAAAGACTAAACAACATAAGCACTAAAGATATAAATGACTTAAATGCATGGCCCTAACTCTAAATCCACAATAAAACCACAGGCTCAAAAAAGAATCATGTAACAATATTTTATTAAAAAAATAAAACTTAAATTAAACTTGGCCATCTATTCTTCTCCCTCACGCCGCAACTCTCCTCTCTTCTCACTTATTTTTTCATTTTTTTTTACATAAAACTAAACAAATTTCAAATGGCTCAACTCTAAACGTGGATTAATAGAAGAAACGAGATTACCTTCGACGGTGGAAGGAGTTTCCTTTTCTCTGATGAAGCAACCGAAGCGTTCCTAGCAAAACGGTAAGTTCTTTCTTCTCCTTTTTTTTCCTAGACTCTGGTGTTCGTCTTTGTGTGTTTTCTTTTATGTTCGAATCTGGAGCGTTTGAGGTTGCTGTTATGTTTGGACGAAAATTAGTGTTCACAAATTGATATCAATCCTTCTTATACATATCTTTCCTTAAATATTTTTTCCCTTATAGAAAAAACAGAAAACATTTGCAACGAGTTACAATAAATTTTAAAAAATAAAATTCATTTCTTTTAAGATTATTTAATTAAACATGTTTCTAAAACTTCACAAATGTAAAGCATAATCCATTAATTGAGTGATAAAAAATATAATATTTTTCAATTTTAAAAAAATTAGCTAAAAAGGTTATCATATTAATTATTATTTTAAAAATAATACTATCATTTCCAATAGGTTATTTTAAAGGTATATTTATCACTTGAAGTGTATATATCTCGAGACTGAGTGGATTAATCTGAAACAGAATGCAAGGGTAATCCTTGTTTAAAGGACACTTCAGTTGAAACCCCCAAAGTAGTGTCAAAAGCATACATAAATGGAATACAAGGATTTAAACAAAAAACAGACAACATAGTATAATACAGTAATTGTGCCATTCAAACCAAACCCTGCATTTTATTCTGAAAAGCAGCTCTCCTTATTCCACCTTGTTCAGCTTCATGTCCTAGCACTAGCAGTCGTAACCTGTGCCTCGTTTGCCTTACTCTCGATCTTCTGCCCCACTTCCTTGGTCTTTGCCCCTACGTACCCCGCCATATCTGCACCCGCTCCTGCATCCTCTTCCGTGCCTCCTCCAAGTCCATCTGCTCCGTCCCCGTCGCGTACCTCAGCCGATTCAATACATAATTCAAAGACGACAACCCCGTCAACCCGAATGCCCCGGACGACAAGAACCCCGTCACCGCCATGGAAATTGCTATGACAGCCGGGACCAGAATCGGGCTGAACAGGAGAAAGACTGGTGTCGCTACTAGTAGCCCGATGACGGTGCCTGCTAATGTCAACCCCGATAATGCAAGCAGTGAGCCACCGACTGGGAGAAGTGTGAGGACCGCTAGAATTTGGGTTGCGGATGGTCCGCCACTGTGATAGTTCTTCCCACCACCACCGTAACCGACTCCGGCCGGGTTGTCGTAACGGTACTGTGGGCGAACATGAACCTGATGAGGCTGGTTACGATCACGGATTTCGGCCATTGCTAAAACAGAAGAAGATAACAAAGCTTTTATGAAGTTGTGCAAAATGTATAGATGAGATGGAGAGAAATGGGGAATAGGGTTGTGGTTTTATGGAGGAATTGGGAGGTTTAATGAGAAGACACGTTGAGGATGACATGGTGAGCTGAGGCTTTGCATGGGGAACAAGTTGCACTCAGATTCCTGTGCCTTTTTAAATGAGGTTTTAAGTTGCACTTAAACAAGGAAAAAATACCCCCTTTTTGTTTTCCAATTTAAATAGCGGTTCTGCAGAATTGGTGTGTTGTGCTTTGGGAGTGGGGACACGTGGGTTTTACCTAAAGTGTAAGAGCTGTTGTCCTTTTCTTTATAGAATTTATTAAAAAAATGAGATACAATAAATGCTTATTATATTCTACTTTTTCTATGGCACTCGTACATAACACCTATTCAGAAATAAATATGAGAATATGATTCATGAAATAATTTTCGAAATTCTTGATAAAAAGGTGAACAACCTAAGTTGTATATATATCTTATAATTTGATTGAATAATTTTAATGATAAAGAAAAGTGTTATTTATTAAGAAGTTTAACATGATTTATATTATTTTTTTTATGAACAAGTTCTTGGAAGATTATATCCACCGATACAATCATGACTGTCATCCCATGCTGAGCAAAACATGACCACCCTCGCTCTGTTTAGGGATATTATTCGACATTAATAAGTCGTTAAACGTTCGTTGGGAGAAACCCATTCACCCCTGTTAGCATCAACATCGTCGTTGCTGGATTCCTCGCCTCTTTCCGACCAAAACCCAACCGGAATCATCCCCTTTCACCATCGTTTTCTCCGCCGTCGATAGGATAAGCTCCGATTGCTTTATATTTTATTTTTCATCGATATTTTGGCTCGTTTATGGGGTTAATGTGAGTTGATTCTAGTGTTTGGTGCTTTTTCGATAAATCGATCATCGCCCCCATCCCTGTCACCAGTCACAAACTCTGCCACGCGCCACCACCGCGTGTGGGCCTTATCGTTCAGCAGATTCTTCCAGAAGCTGAGTCAACTAGGAATGAGTTGATCGAGTCAACTCAGATCGAATTGACCGAGTTAACTCAAACCGGGTTAACTGAGTTAAATCAGACCGAGTCAATTCGTTGACATGGTCGTTGACTTTGACCCATTGACTGTTGACTTTGACATGTTGATCGTTGATTTTAAAGCATTAACTGTTAACTTTAACCAAAAGTCAACTTTTATGAAAAAGGCATATTTTATATTTTTCGACTTCTTGAGTCCGAATCCAAAGTCTGTTTCGCCAAATTTAAACTCAGTAAGCTATTTTTCGATGTTTTATCTCCTGATTCGATACGAAGTTTCACGTTTAAGTTATGTTTTTGACGTAAATTCGTTTGGTATGTATCCGAGACTTGATGGGATATGGACTTAAAGTTAAAGGGCGATCGAATGGAGACTATTTGGTCGATCGATGTACACAAAAATTGAGGTAATACATTATTATTATTTGCATGTTTTATGGAACACGTTGATATTGGTTATTGCATAAATAAATTTTATTGGACAATTTTGCATAGTTAATTATTACTGGACTCGAACTAAATTCAGTAAAAGTTTAGTAAACTGTATAACACTCGAAGAACTCACAGAAGAAATTGGAAGACTGTTAAAAGGTAAATTTCAAGTTCAGTGATTAATTAGTAAATCAATTGACCTCAAGATCCATAATAACTAAAATAACCCCCTGATAATTAATTTTTACCTCCAAAATGGAAAAGCATACTTAGAGTTATGTTCCTAAGCAAACGCCTGAAGACTAAACCAACCAAGGTATCAGTTATGTCAGAATGGATCGAATTGGCTGAATTATATGATAAGACTGAATCGAAAAAGAATGATTAGAATAACCCTGAGTACTGAAATAACCCAAATAATATGGTTTAAGGAAATGTTTTTAGATAAGTTTTAAGGGTTCCAGTGAAGCCTTAAATATTTTAACGACCCCTAAAGGTTATGGAGATGACCTAAGTACGTCAGTCATCTTGGAGACTGTTGCAATACATAAATAAAACAAATACCATCAGAATATGTATAGTTCCTCAAGATCCGTTCAACGATGGTTCTAAAGATGATCAGTTCGACTAGTATTGTCAGTACTAAAGTGTCCATATTCTTGAAATGTATCGATTCGAGTGGTTGACAAGTATCGCAGTGCTGGGATTTGTTCAGTTTGAGTTGACCCGATATCCTGATAAATTGATATGATTATTGAAAATTGTAAATCATCGTTTCACCCTTATTGGATTAAGTTGCTAAGAATCCACTAGAAATCAAAGTGTCTGAAATACTCCTGATGACCTAAATAATGGAATCGCTCTGGTTATATTTGAAATTTATTATGATGTAAAGGTTCATAAATACCTTTCTGATACACCTGAAATCCTAAATGGTTCTGAAGCATCAATTCCTGAATGTCTTATTAGATTTGTTTGTAATTGAACCCTTTTAATAGGGACCTCAATCCTGAAATCCGATCAATTTTGATTAAGTTCATATTTTCTATTCCTGATAATTTCCAAGCTCGTTCGAAAAATATATGGATCATCTAGTACGTTCCCTATTGACAAAAATGTTTTCTCTGATTTATATAAAGTATGGTTTCTGATATCTGGTTTCTGATTTCTGACACAAGGTACAATTAGCTCCTGATTTCTCATATTACTGTCTGTTATCTTATCTGTTTTATTTGGGTACTGTATAGGTGGGTGTCTGGAGTCTCTGAGGTTCAGCTAGCATGTAAATCATTTATGTTCTAATTGTTCATATTGGACTCCTAGATCCTAGGGGTATAGGGTAAGTCCTTATGGATGTCTGTTATGGGGTACTGCATGTGGTGTACGGTTGGAGGGAAATTGAATATTAAATAAAAACCCAACTTCTGATTTATGTTTTATGATATTACTGGTTCTATTTGAAACTATTTTATTGGGGTATTGATTGGGTAGGATTCTAGAGTCTTTGAGGTTCAGCTAGCTGGTAAATCCTTTCTGTTCTGATCATTCATATTGGACTCCTAGATCTTAGAGGTCTAGAGTAAGTCCTTATGGATGATGTCCTGGGGAATTTCACATGGAGTATTCGGATGGAGGGTACTACAGTGATTTTAAAAAAAAACCTATTTTATTGAAATAACTACTATTGTTTTAAAACTATGATTACATTTTATTCTGGTTTTGAGAGAACATACTAGACGTTTGCTTCAATCTCCTGAACTTGGTCTTCTGAACATTTCCTTTGAACTATAAACTTCTTGTCTGTTACCTGAAGAAATATCAGTGGAACCTCAATTCATCTCAAAAACCTGTAGATGATTGAATCAATAAGAAATTTTTTATGCTTGTCGTTTATCTGCTTGTCCTTCAACATCATCTGGTAGTTCTGTATTATTGAACTTCCCAAATCTCACTCTTTTACTTACCATTTCAGGTTAACGAGTAGATCATTTACAATTATCAACATCAACATCAACATCAACATTGGGAGTTCCTTCGACTTTGTTGGCGAGTACGGTACCTGTATAATTAGGGGGCATGTAGGTCACATTTGATTTTTATACTGAGTCTGAAACTTGTATGATTTTAATTCTGTTTGTAATATATAAATTATTTTCTGAACTTGTATTTTATTTATAAATTGTTTTATGATTTTACATGTTTTAACAAAAAAAATCAATTTTTCCTGGATTTTTTTATGTAGGTCGCTCCGGTGGCCCTAATGTGACACCTCAGATCGGATCGGGTCATCCGTATCGGTCTGAGGGTGTTACACTTACACCTAGGGTCGTATTTGAGACTGGTCATGAGGGCACCTACCTAAGGCCCATAATTTTTATAATGTATTATACTTTTAAAAAATTATTTTATATTAGTTATATGCCCCCAATTATTTCTAATACTTGTTTTAAAGGTTTAATTATTTTCTCAATATTTATTATTATGGGTTCAATTGTTTTTCTAATATTTATTATTAGGAGTCTACTCTTATAATTTGTTTTTTTCTAAAATTTGTATAAGTGTCAAACTTTTTACCAAATCTTTTTCTAGCATTTTTTTCTTAAATGCCCAATTTTTCAATACTTATTATTAGGGCTCAATTTTTTTAATATTTATTATTAGGGGCATATTTTAATATTCAGTTTCTTTTCTAATATTTATTTGATGTTATGAGTTCAATTTTTTTAGTATTTTTTATTAAATATCTAATTTTTTTAATATTTGTTATTATGAGCATACTCTTAAAATTTATTTTATTTCTTTCAATGCTTGTTATCATGGAGTTACTTTCAAAATTTATTTTTTTTAACCATTGTTATTAGGAAATAATTACTTAAATAATGGTGTGTAACTACAACAATGACCATTATGTAGTGGTAACGACATCGTCCGAAATTGCGATATTCACAATTGATATGTTCACAATAGCATGTGTTATCAAAGATTCACAACAACGATATTTACAGTGACTGTAATATCATTCGCTATGTCTGAGATAGCAACAAACGCAACGCAGTGGAAGACACAAATACAAATAGTAATTTAAATCTATTATTAAGGGCCTAATTTTTTGTTCATCCAAGAGCCATCAAAACTTCAGAAATGGGTCTGCTTACACCGGTGTAAATATATGTTATGGGTTATGCTTTTTTGTAGTATAAATTATGAAAAAATTTGTCAAATAATTTTAATATGTTAACCTGTAATCAAACCGTTAATAACGATTAACTATTAATTGTTAACATTTTCATAATAGTTAAAAAAATCTAATAACCATCATAACAATTAATCGATCATTTAAATTAAACAATACAATTAACCATCCATGAACAACCCTATCTCCGCGCATTTTCTCCATCCATCCCTAATTAAGCCCATGAATTGAGAATCTGACCCGGATCTCCGTCATCGTTCCCAAAATCCTATAATTAGCCCACCTTTAAACTCTAGGATTTTTCTTCTGCCTTTTAGT